ATTCATTTTGTTCATCACACGGAATAATTTGGAGCCAGTATTTTGAGGGGTTCCTACGAAATTGAGCCATATAAGCTTACAGAGAGGTACATTTAACTTTATTCTTTGGACAGGAAACTTGCATTATATGGATCTATTTATACCTGAAATGATATTACATTCTTTCCCTTGCACGTGGATGTGATTATGTGATCAATTAATTTATGAATGTATATTATTATGAACAATAATGTTGTCACCATTGGCAATGATTCCTGATGGAGATCAATAATTTATTATATGAATTTGAGTACATTTTATGATCAGACATGTACTTTTTTTTATGCTAATAATTTTAGAAGTTTCGGAATTTTTTTATTTTAAGGACATATTTTGTTGTTCTGCAAATATGAATTACATTTTATGATCAGTCATGTACTTAAACAAAGAAATCACTAGAATTAGTTTGCTACCTTTTAACTCATTCAAACAAACTCAATAGAATTTCAAGTTAGAGTGTAAACAGAATTCTATGCTTCTATTCTAAATGAAGACTAAAAAAACAAGATTGTGTTTAGTAAACCTTTAAAACAGGGTTAGGACTGAACCTGACCTTTTTTGGGGGTCAAGAACTTAAGTTCAGTTCTGGAAGCCAAAGTTGGTTACTTAACCAATTATTGCTACCTCTTTCATAGTCCAAAGTAGATCTGGACTGGTTTTGTTCTAGTTTTGGACGGGTTGCCAAACACCCTAAAATCCAAGATTAATTTTCATTCAATAAGATTTACAACTTCGTCAATTAATTTAAAACCTTGCGCTCTTATTCTGGGGCCCTGTGGACTATACTCTAGCTGGAATAAATTGGAAATCTATTACAAATTAATATCCACTCTTCTAACTTAAAAGCAAAACCTTAAAATATCTATTCATGCTATAATAAATGATACTCTTGTTGTAATAAGTGTTAGAATATTAAAAACACTGTTTGCGCTACAGTTTGATTCAGAATATTAAAATTATTGCTCATGTTACAGTATAGTTTTGAATCTTGAATACGGTTTTTATGCTATAATGATTTTTTTTGGACCAAGCTGAAGGAATATTTTTTAACATTAAAAAAAAAATATCCCCCCCCCCCC